TTGGCCCGCGCCCGGGCGGGAGGAGGCGGCGGCGGCGGGTTCTTCCTTCCGCGGCCCGGCCGGGGGTTCGGTACCGGCGGCGGCGCGGGGCGGGCACTGCCCGGGGCGCCTTGGGAGCGCGGCTGTTTCGGAAAGGTCACCCCGTGTGCTCCGCGTCTGCTCCGCGCCGGGGGGTTTGGCGGAAGGGAGGAGAGGGAGACGCGCTTTGGATGGCTTCCCTCGAAGCCCTCGTACGACCGGTTTTACGCTGTCTGGGAGTTGTGTTCAATTCTGGTTTTAATGACCAGAAACTCGAGTTTCTAGCGTTCCCTACAGTAAGACGTTCCCCAAACATAGGTCTCACGGTTAACTCTTGGCAATTCAGTCTCAATTTGTGACCGAAGACTTTTCTCGTTTATAATGCTTGGCCATTTGAAACAACTTTTTCCCCTTCTCACTTTCCTAAAGCCAGAACTTACTCGCATACTTATTATTCCTGGAGTGTTCATCTGGTATTGAACTGTCCAGGGCTCACAAAATACCCACGTGTAGGCTGGCTGGTTATGTGCAGGTAAATAAATACCACGAGTGATTGTGCAATTGACAGACATTAATCTCTGCCTTCATGGTATCACTTCCTCATTATCCCCAACTCTGAATTTTGTGGATAAATCTTGGTAGTAATCAGTTGCAGAATCACGGTGCCACAGATCTCCTGTGGGGCTCTTTGCCGGGTGAGACTGCTGCTTTTCCCATATCGCCACGATAACAGTTTCGTTACCAAATGAAACAGGGTGTGAGAAGGCAGCCGCCATGCTGGTAGCATAAACCTTGTCCTTTTTGTGGCTTTCGGCACTGGGACTGGATGGGGTGGAATCCCCATGCAGTTCTGGTTAATTAAACAAAGACAACACTAAAGAAATCTTCAAAGTTATACAAAGGAGAAAAATGTGAATTAATTCCTATTTCTAACAGATCTTACTCTGTAACCGATGGGGCTCATGGCAGTCCTTTTTACCTAAACCACTGATGTTTTATGGTGTCATCTACAGGTGGGTTTTATGCAACCTGTGAAAGAAATCCATGAATTTCTGTTGCTATTTTTTAGTGTTAGTTAACTTTGGTAAATATAACCTTGGATGTTTTATAAGCTTAAATTCAAACAAAAAAAAAAACAGGCATGAACCTGAGAGATGGGAGAGACTCTTTAATTTTCCTAGTGCTTGCCTATCTCCCAAGTTATGTATTTAGGCCAGAGTTATGTTTTAGGAGCTCTTACATCCATTCACAGTTTCAGGAAGATCATACTAAGTCAAGTCAATAACCAGTGTAAGGGTTTGTTAAACTTGTATTTCAGAAGACTGGTTAAAATTTATGTACAGATCTTTTCTTTTGACATAATGTTTTGATGTGAAACCAAAAGCTGAAATTATGGGTTTGACTAAGTTGGTTCAAATTAATGGTGCTGTGATACTTTAATATATCTAAAAAAAAATGAGTTCTGTGAAATTACAAAAGAATTAGTAGGCTCATGGCTTATTAAAATATTTGGTTTAAAAATGCATTGTGCTACTTGAAGGGCATTCCATTTTTAAAATAGGAGTATTGAAGTAGGTGGTCATTAATCTAACTCAGATTCCTTAAATGTATCGCATTCCAGCTTTACATGTTAAAAGTCTTTAAAAGCATAAATTTGCAGAATGAAATAATTTCCACTTGGAAGGAGTGTAAATAGAATTGTCAGTTAAATGATCTCTTATATTTCACTTTGTTTCAGTATAACTTATGAGCAGCAACTGAATTATTTTTAAAAAAAGTAATGTAGACAGCTTCTCTTGAATATTACATGCTACTACAGTCTCCTGTAGAAAATAGCTGCAGGCAACAAACCACTTGAAAGTGTGCGTGCTCTTGTTGGTGGGAGCAGCTACATTAGACTTAGTGAAATCATGAAATAATGTTAGCACATCAGAGCGTTATGAACTTTTTTTAATTAGATTGCTCTTTGTCACTTATGGTTCAAATTTAGAATGATTTGAGAGTCCTCATTTGTCATTTTCATTTGTGGTGTTACTGTCTCGGTTGTTTTGCTGCAGGCAAATATTATAGGAGAGATTAGGTTTTCTGGAGGTTGTGTGCCAGCATAAACAGGTTGTATGTTTTACAGAAACCTTAAATGCTTTGGTTGCTTATTTTCACCAAATGAATCTCCAAAAGCAAGCAAATGTTTCTGGTGGTTATTTATGCTTCTTGTGTTACTGGAATGCTGTGTTTTGTCAAATGAGATGACGTTTTGAACTCAGTGTGATCTCTGCCTACAGTGTGACCATTTCTTCTCTGATTAATTTGAAAACTTAGGAGAATATTGTAGGTGTGATTTTCTAAAATTGTACTGTTGGGTTTTGGTGGTGGGTTTGGGGTTTTGTTGGTTTTTGTTTTGTGGGGTTTTTTGTGTGTGTGACGATATAAGAAAACGTACTAGAAGAGAAACGTGTTGTAGATTATGTGTATCTCTGTCAGCTCGATGCTGGAATTTCCAAGAGCTTCATTTGCTTCAGTAATTGTCTTGTAATGGAGAGAAGTGATTGATAGCAGCCATCAACATATCAGTTTAATATCCTTAAATAAGCTCTGCTCACTTTCTCAGTATCATTTAAAACATTCGCATTCGGAAAACTTCAGCTTCTTTATATGAGGATCATTTACAAAGAAGAGAGAATGAAGTGATAACTTAGTCCTTGGGAAACTGGAGTGAGCAGGGAATTAGAGTTTTAGGTTGGAAAATAGGAAGCAAGAGCTCTTTTCCACATGCATCACTAAAACTTCAGTGGTGATGTTTAGGCTTATTGCATTGGTTTAGATTAAGTGCCGTCCAGTGTTTCAGATCACCTCCACTTTTAACGGGTAAGTAAAAATGGGAATTCTTCATGGTCCCATAGGTCTTCTATCAGTGGCCCTGGGAGTCCTGTGGTTTGATCTGCTCTGCTCCTCTTCCTGCCTTCTGACCCTTGGGTCCTGTTGGCTATGGACAGACACGGAACTATGTGGGGCTACAGGCAGCTAAAATGTCCTGCTTAAGATAGGAGAGTCCCTCTGTTAGGAAGGAGTTCCTAGTGCGCCGAGTTCCTCGCTACAGTCTGCTCAGGTTTGGGCTCCTTCTGGAGGAAGATGTGGATCCGCCTGTTCGGTGGCGGTTCAACATGGCCTGGGGTCGCTGGGTTGCACCGGCCGCCCCTGCACCCCAGAGGGCGCTGGGGAGGTGGCGGAGGGTCTTGTGGGGAAGGCAGGCTTGGAGGTCGGTCAGGGGAGGGAGACCCGGGGTTCTGTTTTGGTAAAGGAAATTTGGAAGGGAGAACCTTTGGGTAACCTTTGCAGTATTACATCAGCATAACTGAAGGTCTAGCATTTGTTTTTTCTGAAAGACTGCTTTCTGGAGTAAACCAATTAAGCTCTTCCACCATTCCGTGAACAGATTTCATGTTTGAAGATTAGTCCAGTGCCTTCAGTTGGCTAAAAATATTGGGGGAGAAAAATTGCTTTTAAAAAGTTGTGTGTCTTTGTGGTTTAAGTAAGGCTAAGCCTTGAAATCTGATGGGACTTTTAACCAAGGTCAGTTATTTACTTATGAGTGACACATTGAAAACTTCTGTTGAGAGTTGGAGATCAAAAATGTACTTTTAATCATATGTTGTTTTAATTGGAATTTATTTAACTTTTCTCATGTTGCAATTCTTAAGAGTCTGGTGAAGTTGGACTTGTATTTTTTATTTTTTTTTAAGAGTAAATACAAAGTAAGGGAAACTTCTGTAGATCCCCACAGACAAACGTAGGGCTAATGCTGACTTGTTCGAGTTGGAAAGCTTGAGGGGCTGTTGTCTGACTGGCTTCTGTCTTGAGGAAGGTGTTTCACAGTTCAGGTATCAACGCCAAACCTGTGTTTTCTTAATCCTTCAGTTTGGTGGCTGGGATCACTAAGACTAGGTCAGAGTTCTAAATTTGATGGGTTATGTCATTGCAATATTTCACGGTATACTATATCCCTATTAGAATTTCTGTATCTCCAAGTGTTGGACTATTAAGAAAATCTCAGAACTGTGGGATCTTGAGTAGAGAAGAAGGGAGAGCAAGACATAACTTTCATCTCACAAACATTTTCCCCTCAACCAGTCAGATCCGAGCACAGATCTGGCACCCAATTTTTAAAGATGGGGATGTGGGAAAATTTGATCACCCAAGGAACTCCCTTGACTTTGGTGT